AAGCACATATAGGATGGAAAAAATGATCTTATGAAAAAGTCTGTGCCTAATGTTGCAAAAAAAATTAAGAATTTTCAAATAATCTAGCAATTTTCGTCAGCAGTGATTTAATTTATCAACTTAAAATATAATTTGGTGATTCTATACGTAATAAAAGAAATTGCTTCAAATCAACAGGGTGATTTTAATCAAAATAAAAAAGAAAAAGCTGTCCTTAAAAACTTTTCAAGCAATTTTTTTTCTATTATTTAGATTTTACGTGCTTCGTCAATTTTTACAAATTTCATTTGAATATTTTGAAAAAAAAAATTATAAAAGTTTTTATCAAAAAAAAAGAAAAAAAAAATACGAAAAATATTAAAATAACAAAAAATATTTTTTTTTTCGAAAAAATTGCTGTCTAGCTTACACAAAGAAATTGAGATAAAAATAAAGTACGAGAAAAATAATAGGAAAATGAACTTCGCTTCCAAAAAATTTTCTTTATATTTTCTTAATATTTGACAAGGGCAAAATAACAAAGAGAATTCAAATTTAAGGACAAAGGAAAAACAACATGAATTCACATGAATGAGTCATGTTGTATGCTCTGGTTTTAGATACAATTTCAGTTCTTGTTGTTTTCATTAAAGTTTTTGTTTTTTTTTTGGGTTCGATGATAACAGCAAAAAGAAATAAGAGAGCAACAAAACAAAAGCAAAAAAAAAATCCTTTTTGTTCTATATATCCTTTTCATTTATTTTTCTGTTCGGTCGATTGGTATGTTTGTGATTTCTTTTGTTTAAACTAAACTCAATTGTATTTACTGGTATACATTCAATGAATTTTACATGTGCCACCAAAAATTCAATTGGTATAATTTTTTTGTTATATCATTTGTAACACTGACACTGAATAATCAAAAATCTGAGCGTATTTTAATCTTTTCGTACTGTTAATTTTGAGTCTGTTCATTATTTTGTCCGTGAAATTAGCTCAAACTGAATTTTATAGAAAATATAAGTCTAATTAATAAAAGTATTCTTTGACTCAGTTAAAAAATTTAATTATAATATACTGATATCTGAAATCACTGATATAGAATGATTAGCAAAATAGATGAGTCAAGATAAGCTTGTGAAAAACAGTCTACTTCTTTTAGATGGTACTCGATTTGTGAAATCAATCAAAGTATCAAACATGAAATTTTCAATATTTTATAATTTCATCCTAAAGTTGATCTAATAAAGATCCTTTCTATTATTTTCACTTTTTATTATTCTACATTTTTTTTTATTATTTTCTTTTTTTAAGAAAATGTTATGTTGTTACAAGGACATGTGTTACAATTTTTCTTTTTGAAATAAGATCTAAAGAATTAAAAAGAACTTCATAAGAAAAATTCTTTCATCATGTTGCAGTAAATTTTTTTCTGTTTTCGCAAAAAAAAATACTCTTCGAAAATAAAACAACTTTTAAACAACATTAAATTGGAAATCATTTCCATGCTCTGATTTCCTAAAGCATTTTAAAGAATTCCAATAATATTTTTATTAAATAAAAATAAATTTATTTTGTTATTTTTATAATTTTGAAAGTTATCATATGAGATTATTAAGTATACACTGAAATGAATATTTTTTCTTTTCACATAATTTTAATAGTTATTAATGATTATATAAAATACAATGTCGCATTTTAAATTGTATGCTCTAGTTTTAGAATAATTGTTATAAAATATTGTAATACGATATCTCGGAGCATATCTTTTAAAAATAAATTGTTATAATTAAAATAAACGGTATAAATTACAATGTACAGAATTATATTAATGTTAGAGATAAAATAATAATAAGCATTTTAAATTGTAGAGAACGTCCTTCACTCTATTGTTCTTAAAACAGCGCGAAAAATATTATTTTTTTCTTTATTTTTCTTTAATTTGTGTATGTTCTTGAGAAAACATAAACAATTATTTTTTCAAGCAGATAGATATGAGGCTCCTTGGTATTTTTATATTATAAAATAATGGAAGACATGATATTATGATAAATAAAAAGATTTAATTTTTCTCAAGTCTCAATTTAGTAGCATTTTTAAAATAGGAAAATGTTATAAATATGTATGGAATAGATTATTTATTTATTTTATGTTCACAAAATTTAAAAATTAATTGAATAAATGCAAAGGTAACTTCCAATTATTTTTAAATATTCAGAATTTCAGAGTTTTCTTAATTATAAATGATTCATACAGCTCGAAATTGCATGTTTTTTTTTGGAAAATATTGCTTAGAAGGATAAAATATCATTTTAATAAATTATTTTTGAAATTTCATTTTAAAATTAGCAATATTAAAATTATTTCTTTTGTTTTATTTCAAACAGTCATCCTCCCTTGTCCTTCCCAAAATAATAAGCAAATAATCGAACCTAAATTAAAATATGCTGCAGAAATGGCAATTGAAATGAGTCTTGAGAACGTATTCGACTTAATAGATACAAAGACAACTAGCAACAGTGCCATCAAAGAATTCCAAGAATTTTTGTTTTGCAAAAAGTTATCTAAGTACTATTATTTTTTAATTTTTAACACTAAAAATCATGGAGAATTTTTCGAATTCATTGCGGTTTCTGCCTTTTATTTCAAGAATAAATGTTATATGAGACACAGTATAATAATGACGTACTATAAAGAATGTCTATATTACTTCTGTACTATAAACACAAATAATAAAGATTAAATTGCTTTTTCATTGAATTCATTTCATTATAATATTATCACATACTAAAACTACGAAGGCTTTACTTTAAATACTTTAAATAAACACAGGAAGAAAAATAATTCTTAAAATAAGGGAATATTTGATAAATTATGAAAATCTTGAATCAAAAGCGTTCCTTATTTTTATTCATACATTTTTTTTCATTAAAAAAAACTTAATATATTCGTTATAACATTAAATTATTAATGTAAATAATTAATAAACTCCTGTATGTAGGATAACTACATTGTCATGTCAAACTACTTTCATGTCTTCTCAAATTTTTTATTAACCTCAAGTAAATCATGCCAATAGTACGCAAATTATTCCAATAAAATTTAAAATTTTAAAGATTTTAGATAAAATTTTATAAACTCCCGGTTTATATTACGTTCTTTTCAAATTTCTGGACTATTATTAAAGAAAAACAAAAAAATTACTTTTAATTTTAGAAATATTTTAAGTAATTTAAAAAACATATATGTATGTACCTTTAATGTTTTTTTTCTATTCATTTTTTGTGAAAATTTTTAATTTACGTTAAAAAAAAACCATCAAAGGAATTATTTCTCATTTTACAAATTTTCACATGATTTCCATGCAAACTATTATTTTGGTTAAAGAAAACAAAAAATACAAAATAGGAAAAACCAAAAACCAAAAAAAATATATTTATATATATAGTAAGTATATATTTGGAATAATTTGTATGCAATCATTTTTATGCACACAAACTCACATATTAATACCATGGATGTATGTAGAAGCTTATATATACATGTACCTATATAATCGACATAATGACTGGGAAAAAATTATAGAGAAAAGAGGGAATAACGACATAGAACAACTAAAATAATCCTTGAGGATATCCATTAAATTTAATATAACAAAAGTGTATACATTTTTGGTAAAAAAAAAAAAACAAAACACATCAGAAACAGCAAAAGAAAATGAGAGGAACAAAAATACAAAAATTCTTTTCAGTTCTCTTGTGGCTAAACTAAGGCTTTTTTTTTTTCTTTACCGTGTCCCTTTTTTTTTTCATATACGTATACTTTCTATTTTTATATTTTTATTTTTTTTTTTTTAAGGATACGGGTAGGTTTGTTCACATTCTATTTTCTTATGTTTTTATTTTTGATTTTCTCTTGAAATTTTTTTTTTAATAAAATTCTAAGAAAGTTAAAGAAAATATTATAAGGAAAGTGAAATAAAGGATCTTAAACAGAAGGAAAAGAAAATAGGTCCTTTCTCTGTTCCAGTTTACTTTTTTGTTCCTTTCTTTCTTTATTCCTTACTTTATCTTTTCGTTACTTTACGAAGGAAAACACACGCATACAAGTAGGTTTATATATGATATGTGATTCATGGTTAATCTTTAAATGAAATTGAAATAAAAGAAAGGCACAACAATAACAAAAAAAAAATAAAAAAATGGGAAAAAAAATTTAACTTAAAACTTTAACAGAATCAAAATTCTAAAAATATTCTTTTATATTTTTATTTTTTCATTCTTTATTTTTGTTTTTTAGTACTTCTATTGTATAACAGTGTAAACCTATATTATTATGCAATTATTACAATGTATGTAATTACGGGAGGGTATATACATAGTATTCGTACTTGTTATATACAAATAATTTGAAACTTTTTGATTGTTTAGCACTTCCTGAAAACAAACAAGAAAAAAACAAGCACCTTTAGAAAATCAAAAGAGATTTTTATGTAAACTAAAAAAAAACAAAATTAAATTGTAGCAAAATATTTCCAAAATAATTAAAGTAATTTCAAGAGTTCGTGGTCAAAATTATAAAATAGAAAATTTTATAAGAAAAAAAAAATATAAATTTAATATTTTTCTTTCTTTAAACTTATTTTTTAGTATTATCCTTATTTTACTTTCTGATTTTATTCGTCCAATTTTCTGTATAAGAATAATTTGCATTTTTTTTACATAAATAAAATATTAAATTTGTTTTTTCTCTCTTTTTCCATTCTATACACATATTATCCTTCAAAGTTTACCGTTTTATATATAAAAGAAAAGAAATCATAATAGCTGAGATTTACATAATTACTTTGAGCGTTCTCATTTTACTCTTTATTCCACTATACATTATATCAACGTATGTATAAGTATAGATTTTATTTTTCATTTTGTATTATAAAAAGGATTTAAGTTATTCCACTTCACCTATGCAAAATTCTTATTCTTTATTACAGTAATACAAAATATATACACTTAACCTTCAAACAACGTGAGACTAAAGTCTCTTAGTATTTACGTGTGATATATCAAACTCGCTATAATAGATTTAGTTCCAGTACAAATGTTTTGGTGAGAGAAGTTTTAGAAATAAAACAATTAAAACATCATTAATTAAAAAATTCAATTTTCTATTGGACATTTAAAGCTAGATCTTCAATTAAATAAGTACTATAAACAGTACATAAATAATGTGCAGCCAGTGGAGATTTTCAAAAAAAGATTTTCTTATAAAATCGCATTAGGAAAATATACGTAAGTAAATAAATCAATTTTTGGTTGAAATTAAAATCTTCATTTCTAATAAGCAAAAGATTAAAATTAAAATTTTTACTGGTCTATTTTGAGTACCACCTAAAGCAAGAACTTCGACTATAACAATGGAATATCCCAAAAATGTGTTCAAAAAATAACTGATTATCATAAGCATCACAAAATGGGACAGCATAATATAAGTGATTCAGTCCCGCTGCAAGCAAAGGTTTTCGCATTTCGTAAGTCATTTTTTTAGTGAAATCGCATTATAAATGAATTCAATATGTCGAGTATACGAAGTACAAGTGTACATACACATTCTATATAATATTATGTATGTAGCTGTCAGTGAATATTATGTTTTATATTTTTTTGTGGACTCCGTTTTAACTCCTCAGTTATTACTCAAAATACATATTTTTTTTAACCCTTATTACTGTTTCGGTGTTCTGTGTATAATTTTATGCAATACTGTAATTTTTTTTATAGGGTTTTTTTGTTTCAAATTATAGGTATAATATATTGTGGATATATTATATTTTTAAATTTAGAGAATGTTATAAATATATGGTTTGCAAATTGAGAAAATAAGAGAAAATTACCATAAATATCTAGTGATCAGTATTTTTTAAATCTTCGAAAAAAACGATATATCGAAACAAAAAATCAATTTAATATGATTATAGGCAGATCAATTTTAAAATTGTAATACTTATGCCTCGCTCTTAATTCGTATTATAATTTTATATAATTTTATATTCGCAAATGTTTATATAAAACTTGCCATGCTACTCGTATTCTTTCGCAGAGTTAAATTGGAAGCCTATCAAATTATGTTCTTTAATCCGTTTGTTTATCTGTATGTTGTTGAAGTTGAAGTACTCATTTGAAATCACAAAGATATTTATTATTTAACTTGTTATTTAGCACAGATGGCACATTTTTAATGCACGTAATTTGGTCTGAAAAATAAACAAGATTGCCCCACCTGGCAATGTTTTGGTAGGAGCTTTAAAAAATTCAACAAATATGTATATGCGCCAAATCATTAAAAAGGTCTCCGAAGATTTCACAACTCTTGTTTCACAACTTTTTTCAATGTCAGTTATCCAAGGTTTCATTCCAGAGCGTATGTCGTTTCGAGGATATCGAAAAACTTTGGAAAAATACTGACTCAAAAAGGCAAAGGTTTAAGTTTTAAAGATTAAAGTTTACATTTTGGGTAGTTTTTCTTTCCATTTAAAAGTCATAAAAACATAATGGATGTTAAATAATATATTATTTTAAAAAAGTTCTCTTTCACATAATTCGGGAGGGGAATCCTGATTTTTTAGAATATTGACGAGAAAAAAACATATTCAGCTATGAGATACATTTTATATAATATATATCTATATATTCCATACAGTCATACGGCATATGTCCAACAGTATTTATTATAATATTTTTATATTATACAAAATTTTAAAATGAAACAAAACATATATAAAAGAGATGCATATAATATTTAAATTAAATTGGATTAGATCTACTTACTGGTAACGGTGAATAAAAGAAAAATTTGAATATTTTTGTAAATACATACATAATTTGTATATACTCATATATATACATATTATGTAAGTAGATTATTTTAACACATTCGTTTTACGATCTCTAGTATAATTTTTTAAATAAATAGATGTCTTCGCAGTTCGCTTAACACAGTAAAATTTAAAAGTTTTTTTTTATAAATTATGAAATAAAATTTTTTTGTAATTTTCAAATAGAACATAATGTTTGAGAAAGGTTTTTCCTAAAGTTTTACAAAATCTTCGCAATTTGATATGGTATGGCACGGGATCTTGGCAGCAAATACGGAAAATAAATTCATAAATTGCGGACAGCTATGCGATTATTAATCATTAACCTTGTTATATGATTCAAATTACTAATAACCACAATAATTGTTGCCTTTTAAGACTAATATTGCGGTTAACTACAAGCTGTGTTAGTTTTCAAAAATTCATTCACTTTTGTTCTTTAAAAAAAGGTATTAAATACTTAGCTAACTTTAAACCCCATATTCCATTATTATCATACATTTATGTATATAAATACTAGATTGCAGGCATGTGCTAGAACACCCATAACAAGTGAATTTTATTATTAAGGTATTATAATTATTGTAATATAGGTAATATTATGTAAAATTAAAAGCGTTAAAATTTCCAAGTTCAAAATAACTTCATTATGAATTTAAGAAGAGGGAAACATTAAAATATTTTTTCAAATTTACATAATATTAGTAATAAATTAGTTTTTCTTAGAAGTTAATTTTAATTCTAAATAAATAAAAATTTTTTACGAACCTAACAGCCATTAATTTATTTTTTTTTTTTGATATTTCATTTAACCTATGCTTTTCTTAAATAATTTAAAAAAAAAAAACCCTTATTTTAAAGCAATTAGGTTTTGGCATTGTTTATAAATGTAAAAGGTTCCCATATATACTCCTATATATCCTTGAATTTTATATTGACCATATTTGTTTTATGATAAGCCATGTGTTTTCATTTAATCCTGCATTCTTATATCTTGAACCTATTGCTATTGAAATATTTCATATTTTTTTTTCTTTTGTTTTTCTTTGTATTTTATAAGTTATATGCCAGAATATTTTTATACTCGATTAGTTACTTCACATTTCAACCCCGTATATAATTAGGAACTTATATAATATGAGAATTATTTACAAGAGGATACGAATAGGGTATGAAAAAATTAAAAAAATACACAAATTTCTTGGGTTTTTCAAAATTATTCTTGTTTTTTTTTTCAGTTTTGCAGTTGCTTTATGTATTCACAAGGGTCTTTCTCATTTATTTTATAATACCGTTATTTTTTATTTTTCTTTTATGTTTTTTGGTTTTGTTTTTTCTTTCTTCGGTTTTTTATTATTATATTTTATTTTATTTTTATTAAATTTTTGTGATTTTTTTTTCTTATATTTATGATTGTTTTCCATTTTCATTCAACTTTAACGTTATTTTTGTAAAAGCGAAAAAGGCAAAAAAAAATGGCAAAAAAAACACTTCCCATTACTGTAAAAATTTATGAATCAATACAACAGAACTTTTGAAATCAACACGAGAATTAAAAAAAAAAATTAAAAGCAGCATTGCCAGAGGGTCTAAATTGAAATTTTCAATAAAATGAATTTGCAACTAAAATCTCTTTCAAGATTTTAAAAATGGAACACTATTAATTCTAATATTTGTTGAGCCAACCATCAAACCTGACGATATTTGATATGTGATCATTAGCATCCCTGTAATCAGAGTCAAAATCAGATGTCTTCGAATAATTTACGCTTTTTATGAAAAAATGCATGTTTAATTTAATCATTTAATAATTGAAGAGAATTTTAAAGTGTCACAAGATTGTGGTTAAAGCAGTTTAAAATTTCTAAATTTTACTTTTATGTTTCTCATTGCTATAATTATTAATGTTTTAAAATTCATTTAGCGCCATAACCTTAATTCCATATTCTTGATAGAAGTCATAACTTTTGCGACTATTATACGGATCTTATAGATACCTAAAATTTTATACATAAGAATGAACTTTTAACACTCTAACTGCCTTTAGGACATTGTTAAAAAAGCCTGATTCATTACTGTTAACAATGACTACAAGGAAAATTATTAAACTGGTTCCAACTACCGCCACGATTTTTGGTAGCTGCCGACATCGTAGGATTAAAAACATTTATAATTACCATTTTGGCAGGGATCCAAAATTCAGAAAAGTCCCATTCTAGCGTCACAGTTTCTCTTGACTTATCTATAATGACAGTCAGTCTCTAAAATTCCAAGTGTAGTCTTTGCCAGGTCCAAGTGTGTGCCACACCAATTTTGTATTTTAATATCAGACATTTTTGACTGACGAAAACATATTCAAAAAAGGCAAAAGATTTCGTGGTAGTGAGAGTGTTAAATATACTTGATTGTAATTTTTGAAAATATTCAGAACACATGGCAACTTCATGCAAACATTTTATTGAACACACTACTGTATTTAATACAATATTTTAATGTACACAAGGTTTTTATTTTGTTCAAGAACTTTAAACAGTAAAAATTTGAAAAAAAAATCATATTATACTTTAACCATCTTAAATGGCCTTTAATTTGAAGCGAGAGGCGCCACTAAAAACCAAAAATATAAGTCGCTCATCCTTATCAGTTGTTTTTTGTTTTTTTGTTTTCTCTTATTTATTTTTTTTTTTATTATACTTTATTGAGTTCTTCGCTTCATTTTTATGATAATGCTCTTCATCATCGGAGGGATATTGAAAAATAAAATGGTAATTGATCCTTTTAAAATTTTTTGTTCTGCGATGTTTATTTTTATGTTTGTTGTTTTTTTTTTTAAAGTCAAAAAATATAAAATAACGAAATAATTCAAATAAATAAAGCGTTTAATCCAATCTAAACGGGATTGTTTTAAAAGTAAAGGGCTGACTTTTTTTTAGAAATTGTATACTTATTTTTTACGTATATAACGTGTATGTAATAAGAGGAGAAGAAAAAAGAAACAAATTAAAATGGATAAAGTAATTGGAAAAATTGCAATCCCACTTAATCAAAATGGGGAGAGGAGGAATCGAGTTTGGACATAAATTACATTTTTGGTTTTTCACTTTTTTTCCGAATTTTTTTTGTTTTTAGTTAAAAAATAAATTTTTCACAATAATTTCCGGAACAAAGAACATTGTTTTTCGGTCTTTTGTTGTAGATTTGATTTTTGTCAAAAATTAAATTCGTACAGCGAACGCTAAATGTTTTTGACTATCTCCATATTAGAAATAAACTAATAAAAGTTATTCATTAGCATGAATAAATTTTTAAGATGCTTCTTTTTTGTTAAATATGAACGAATTCAAAATTTTGGAAAAAATAAGCAGAAAACTAGTGAATGCAACATAAATTTTAAAAATATTTTGAGTAAATTATTCCTCTGTTGCAGCGCGTTCACATGATAGCCATCACTATCTTCCTAAATGAACTCTTTTTACTAAATATTCTACTTTAAAATTTAAGAAAATAATTTTTAAATTTACTATAAAAATTTAATTATCTTTTCTATTTCTTCTAATATCTTTGTTAGGAACGTTCGATAGCAAACAGATAAAATATTAATATACCATCGGTTTCAATTATTTGGCCTAGTAAAAAAATCAATAATCAGTAATAAG